CAGGTTAAATAATACCAACAAGATAATCATAGGGCTTATAATAAACATTATTTAGCCCAATACCATTTTGTTTTCAACAACAAATGGTGTCCAAATAATTTTATATATCTATGCCCTTAAAGTCATACTTTCTCATAATTTGGTGGGGTAATGAACTCCCAGCCTAAAACCTAAAAGCTCCTCTAAAAACAAACAAACAAACAACCTCTTACACACTGCCCACAAACAAAACACAGCCTTTGGTGGGCAGAGGGGAAACAAAAGTATCAGCTGCTACCATCTACCACCAGGGAGACACAAGCGGTTCTTAAACTCTAACTACTTAAACGGGAGTGGGGTAATGATTCCTGAGCAAAGATGGTTTTACTCCCCGGACCTTATGAAGTCCCACGCACACTATCTTAGCACTCATGCTGCAGCAGGCATAACAGAGGCAGCCGCTGCCTGTAAACTTTTAACAAATGGGAGAATTTCTGATGATCCAACAAGAAATATCCCAATCAGCTCACACAGTAACACCTGAGAACATCTGGGAGACAGTCTAGTTTGGGTCCGCATATAGAGTAAAACACAAAGAACTCAGACTAACACAAAATGAATAATTAATTTATATTCTGAGAAGCCTAACGGTTTTCTAGTGTGGAACTTTCACAGAAACTGAGAGGCAATTAAAGCATTGCTAAATAAATAGTACAAAATAGTTAATTAGTGCTCAAAACAGCCTACAGTTCACAGAAACTGACAGGAACTCTAACTAACATAAAATAATTATTTCATGTCTTTAACCCAACCACTTGGAAAAGAGGCAGAGCCAGGGCTACAAATGCTACCCTGTCTCCATGAAAATACCATCTCTCTAAAACAATATATTTAAACTTCTTACAATCTTGTTCTAATTTATCAACATAAAGATGCTTATATATATACAATAATAACATTATTTATCCCCTTTGGGAAAAATAAAAATGTAAATAAAAATTGGACTACTAAATTGGGTCATTCTGTGCTTGCAGTAGCTTCATACTGGAGGACAGGGGCTATATTTCATTGGAAGGAAAGCTTTATGGGTTTGGTCAGAGGAAAAGGAAAAGGACTTTGGACTCCATCCAGATTAATAAAGTTCAGATATGACAAGAGGAGACTCCTGAATACATAGGCTACAGTATCCTCCAAACTTGACACTCTTTAAAATGGCGTAGATAAAATTGGTTTAGTTTGGTTTACAACCCAGCCTTGCCTATGGAAAAATGCCTTTCATTTGCTTATACAGAGAGCAGAAAACTGTCCTTAACTGATCTGTGCATCCTGCCTATCTCCTACATTTAGGATTTTAGGACTGTATAATACTTGTGAGGAATTATACTTTGTTTTCAGAGCAAAAGAACTGAACACTGGTGACACTGGCTACAACTTCCAGAGACACGGACACATTTTTTCCAGCTTCCTCATGTTCCAGCTTTCCAGCTTCAAACATCTCAGGTGCTGCTTCATCAGAGCCTGCTCCTAAGAGAGCTTTGAAAAAAGTTTCTAATCTCAATTCGCCCAGCAGTTCTATTTTTTTTTACTTATTTTTAATTTTAATTTTTATTAATTACAATTTATTCACTATGTATCCCCCCTGTAGCTTCCACCCTCCCCCCTCTGTACCTCCCCTTCTCCACCCATGCCCCTCCCCCAGTCTACTGATATGTGAGGTCCTCCTCCCCTTCCTTCTGACCCTAGTCTATCAGGTCTCATCAGGAGTGGCTGCATTACTTCCTCTGTGGCCTGGTAAGGCTGCTCCGTCCTCAGGGGGAGGTGATCAAAGAGCAGGCAATCAGTTCATGTCAGAGGCAGTCCCTGTTCCCATTACTATGGAACCCACTTGGACACTGAACTGCCCTGGGCTACATCTGTGAAGGGGTTCTACGTTATCTCCATAAATGAAAGGCTCTACCCTGCAGGGTATCAAAGCTGATGCTAAGACTTATGGACAACCTTTGTGCAGATTACAGGGAATCTTATGAAAGAAGTGGGAAATAGTAAGATCTGGAGGAGACAGGAACTCCACAAGGAGAGCAACAGAACCAAAAAATCTGGGCACAGCGGTCTTTTCTGAGACTGCTACTCCATCCAAGGACCATGCATGGAGATAACCTAGAACCCCTGCACAGGACTTATAATAACTCTGAAATTTCTCAATATTTGGAGCCTGGACCACAAATGTTAATGCTAGCTTGCTTAATCATTTTTCCCAATTTCCTTTCAGCCCCCAAATAGGATTACTTCACCCCAAAACTGAGTGAGCAGAACCACATTTGAATGACACCCCATTTCCCTTAAGGGGGTTGGATAATTTCTTGGTTGCTTTCTTGGAATATAAATGTTTATTGTCATTGGGAGATGATTATAAATTATTAATGGTCTTATTTGGAGAGAAAACAAGATTAGACTCAGATTTCTCTTTCTTTTTTATTTTTTTTGTCATTCTTTCTTAGGTAAAGAAAAGCAGTTTAAAAGAAAGAAAGGAATATGTGGATATCCTATAGAAGTAAGATAAACAGTAGATTATTGAATCTACTCCTCAAATTAAGGCTTTATTTGTTATTCTCAAATAGGGTTATTTTTTAACTCATTGATATAGGATTTTGTATATAGATGCAACAACAAATATTTTTGATACATTGGTACAAATTTTGGTATATTGATACAGATTTAAGATTTAGTTTCAAAACTTTTAAAACAGCTATTACAAACTGTTTAAGATGGTAGGTAATGCAATTTAATTGTTAAACTCATGGTCATGTCAGACACTGGTCTAATTTATCACAAGAATATATATCCTAAGTTTAACAGACAGATGTGATTCTATAGATAGACGTGTACAAATAAATAAATAGATGTCTTCAAAAACCTCAGAGACCTACAGAATACAAAATTTAAGAACATTTTTAATTACTTTAAGGATTCTTTGACAACAAGAGAGGTCATCTCCTGGCATCAGCACCACCTTCCCCACTCCCCAACCCCTGCCTGCCTCATAAAAAATATTAACATTGAAGAACCATCATATGGACATGGCTTCAGATGTGACAAACAAGCCACCTCAGCAAACAAAATGTCCTTGCTTTAGGACAGAGAGAATGGTGCCTAAAATGGGCAAACTTAAATGCAGGTCAAGTCGACTGCCAAACTCTGTCAAGACAGGGTAAGCAAGTCCTAAATAGTTCTTGCTTCACATATAAGTCTGTCAAAGGTACTGGGCCAGAAGACTGAAAATGATACTGAAACATTATAGAGAGTTTAGGGTGGTTGTTCAAGCAGCAAACTCTGTCATTTTTTTTTTTTTGAGGCTGCTGGCATGCACTTCCTATTTACTCAAGTAATTAAATTTATTCCATCTCAGGTCTCTGATGGGGTGAAGACTGGATAGTCATAATTTTATAATTATAATTAGCTTAGTTGCTTAAGTATTAAAAATATGTTTTATCTCTAAATAGATGTTTTTAGGTTGAAATATACAAGCTATAATAAAAATAACAGGTACAAAACGTTAGATCCTCATAGATACCCTATATTTCCTTCAAGATTGCCAAATACATGAGACTACACACACACACACATACACTTTTATATTGATTTTTATGATTGTTTCATAATTATTCTTACTGTATAAAATGGGCTTTTATTTAAACAGAAAGGGGGTATTGTTGGAGGTTGGTCTGATGCTGGTATTTTGATGCTTATTACTGGCCCTCAGATCTGGTTACTGCCTTGTCCTGTTGTGTAAACCTGCCTAAGACATTATTCCTGATTGGTTGAATAAAAGCCTAAAACCTGGGCAGTGCAGAATAATGTAGACATGGCTAAGGTTCCTGGGGTTTGGGCTCAAGCAAATCACAGCAAACAGACAGATGGGATGAGAGGAGGAAGGAAGACTCCACCCGTGATGGGTTAGCTTGGAGAAGGAACCGCCTGGGCTGGGATGAAGGACTCCAAGGATGGTATGGATGGAGAAAACACAATGATGAATAAGATAAGGAAGTATTTATAAGATTATGGATGGGAGGTAGCCCAGATAAGGACGGTTTAGGAGGGTGACATTGTACAGAGGTTGGGAGGTGGATGGTAAAGTTATTGAGCTAACATACTTAGAAATATCTACCCAGTAAGTAAGTAAGTAAGGCAATTATAAGATCTAATAGGTATCTATGTCTTATTAATTGTGAAAGCAGTTTAAAAATATTGCCAAGATAATCATAGGACCAATAATAAATATTATTTAGCCAAATACCAAATTATTAACAACAACAGGTAAAAGAGGCCTATAAAATATCATATTTATAGTGTGAACAGAGAAACACCATGAGATATAAGACACTAAAATCAGAAGAGGGAAACTGTATTGAAATCTGTTTAAGACAAAGATAGGCTCATCAAAATAGCACATGATAATTGCACAGAAGTCCTTAAAGTCGTGAGTTCTTAGAAGATGTACTTTAATTTATGTCTCTAAAAGAACAGAACTGGGAACTCAGAAAAACTATTAAATTAATGTCTGAATTGTCTACTACAGAGACAGAATAATATACTTTATGATAAGACTGTTCTATAGACCATTCTAGAAGAAATTATTTGGATTGTGAAACAAATTATTTGTCCTCAAAATCAAGTTGGATAAAGGTATTGATATTTAATTGAGTCCCCCAACCCATAAATGCAAACATAAAGGTGATCTGATAAGGAATGAAGAATGCATTGAGGCTTTGCATTGGACAATTTTTTTAGATTAAAACTGCACTTTTCAAGGAGGTTTAAATAAACATCAAATACCAAATGTGTATTTTAATAGCATAAAATTTGAGGCATTCTAAGGAATTATGCATCAGTCAAAGATTCTAACAAAAGTTGAGCAGAAAAGCAGTTGTTAGCGAAATACAAAAGAAGAGAATTAAAAATTGTCTACATGACATAATTTGATTTTGTTATTGTAAGAATATAAAGATTTAACAGTGGAATTCCTAGAAGCCACTACCACAGATGGATCTGTAATAAGAAGGTTGAAATGTTGTAGAAGCTAAGTATGCTGGGTAGTAGAGTCTAGAAGTATAACCCAGAGATCTGAAGCCACTGGACCCACAGCCCCTGGAGTAGCAGCTTCTAGATCCATAGCCCAGGGAACGGCAGCTGCAGTATCCAAAGCCCAGAGACCCAGCATATGTGCCCTGGCAGGGACTGCAGGGTGTGCAGCTCCTAGGGTAGTAGCAGGGCAGCTGGCAGGGGCTGGACACCACACAGGACCT